TTCTTTGAAGCATATTGAAGAAGTACTATATGGACTGAAAATACTTAAGCAATATATGAAACATTGGTAAATGCAGCCCTGCGGGCAATTGAAAAATTTGTCATAAAGTTGTTTTGGTAAAAAAGAAAAAAAAAGTTCAAAACTACTACTTTTCTTCTTTTTTTAATAAATAAAAAAGACAAAAAAAAATTTTAGTGAAATTTCAAAAATATATCTTTACCTTATATTTTGGTTGTTTTTCAAGAATTTCTATTTTGAGTTGAATATTTAAAAGAGACTATAAAATATCATAAAATAGCCGATAAATGAAATTTTGCTGATTCAAAATCAATTAAATTAGTAAAGTTTCCATACATTTAGAAAATAATATCGTAACAGAAATATGTTTATCAATATGTTTATTGATTAGTCTTGGTGTACTTCGAAATGAATTCATATTTGCTTGTACGTATTTCTTAGAAAAGCCTAGTAGCAATTTTTAATTTTTTTCTTCCAATCTGCGCCGAGAGAAATCGTATTTGCATCTTTACAACTCATTTAACGACATAGTTCGTAAGTACGAAAATGAATACTTATTAAAACAGACAAAACGTTGACCAAACTAACTGTTTCTGTTGGAATTAACGACTCGGGATCGTGAGCATTGAAACCCAAACCAAACTACAGATAAATGTGAATCGTGGGGATATCCCTTTACAGGCCTTTAAGTATCAAAAAAAGAACATCCGTTTATGGTTTATTGACAGTAAACTGTAAACTATTCAATTTATTGATTAGAATTGCATTTTACTCGAAAGTTCAGTAGATGATTATTCGATATTATTACTATTTCAATATGCGTGCAAACCAAATTCAACCTCAACCCCAACGAGACCCGATCCGACCCGACGAAAGTCTCACAGAAATTGTTTATAAAAATACTTATACAGTGTGTTAATCAAACAAAATACACGATATACAATAATAAATAGGTCTAGAATAGGCGAGGGACGAAGGGATGGCGAGAAATATCATAGACGAGGTCTAAAGCCGGCCAAGAGTTGAGTGGGTTTGGATGCCATCTTATAACTAATTTAATATTTAATATATTGATTTCGATTTTAGTGGGTCAACAAGTGTTCAATTAGTTATTCTAGTTGTATATATATAGTACTATATAGGTTGTCTCAGCTCAGCCATATGTCTATGTAGATACTCGTAATATGTAAACTTTATTGGCGTTATTAGAGCTAGGACCTAATCAAACAGCAGCACAGAACTAGACTGTTAAGTATTGTTTCATTATCTCTCTCTCTCTTTGTCGCTTAACAATCCTCGCAACCAGTTCTTGTAAGTTCTCTAAAATATTAACGGATTGGATCAGATCAGATACAATCTCTATGTAGTATAGTATATATATATATATCACTTTTATCGTTTAAACACTGCTTCATCGTTTTTACATTTTATGTGATTGGTGTAGTTGTTTTTCGAATTTAGAGGAGTTTCGTTTAAATCTACATTAAGCCGATTTAACAGTAGATATATGCATGTAAATATCTTTAATATCTGTATTTAATATAGAGCGAGACAAAGATTACGGATACACTTGGTGAAATTTGGACAGTCCGAAGTTTGTAAGCCAAGGTGAAACTATAACAATTTTGACTGAAAGCTAGAAAGATCCGAACCGATCCGATCTGATCCTATGGTTCGTGATTGCGCACAAACTGTTCCAGCTGTCGGTGTAACTGACCCTGATAGGGTACCTTATTCTTACTGATGGCCGTCGCCGCCAGGCACTGCAGGGTCACGAAGTTGAGCAGCGGAATGGTGCTGGTGGGATTGGAGGCAATTAAGTCGTAAGGCCGCTTGTCGGCACGGTTCGGCTGATCGATGTCCGCTCCGTACTTGAGCAACAAGCTGACAATCTGTAGGGGGGAAACGTTAAACAGTTTATAATTAAGAATTAACAATTATCATTGCTCACATCATTGTTGAAGTTGTATGGCTGGCAAGCCACATGCAGGGGGGTAGATTTGGCTTCGTTCTTGATGTTGACATCAACGCCGCACTCAATGAGCAGCTTTATAACATCAGCATTGGGAAACACAGTCTTCTGAAAGGGTGAAAGTATGGCATTAATGAGGATTGCTCAATGGCTGAAGGCACTTTCATGTCACATACATCGGCAAAATTATCGTCGGTTATATAGCCGCTTTTGATCACATTCAACCGCGAGGAGCACAGGTGGAGCAGGGTGTCCGAGGTGCTGGCACTCCTCAAATTGCCAACGACAACCGTTTCGTGAACGGCCTGATATATCAGCTTCTTCTGAGGCTCTGTTGGGACGGTATTGATCAGCAAGAAGAGGAGATGGGCCAGACAGCGCATTACGCGGTCGTAGTTCTCCTGCTGCCGGCGAAATACTGGTCGTTGCTTCAGCAAGGCCTTCACAAGGACCGCGCTCTCAGCGAGGGTGCGGAACACACCCAGGACATCTTCGAATCGCGGAAGAATCTTTTCATCCTGTACAAAACGTGCCCCGGCTTCGGTGCGTATGTGGCTCACATTTTGCACATGCAGATCGAGCAGAAGGCGCACCAGCGCCTGTGCAGCAAAACAGGTCTCAAAATGCAGAATTGACCAGTTGGAGACACGCACCTCGAGCAGAAAGCGCCAGAGATCAACGCAGCGCTGGAACTGCAAGGAGTCCGCATACGAGGCACCCCTGAAGGTCAATCGGAACAGCATATCCTTGTGGGTCAGGCCAAGGATGCGTTCGCAGATCAACAGACTCTGAATGCGCATGGCATCCATGTCGGTGGCAATGTTGTCCAGCTCCTCAAGTGTCGTAAACTCTACCGAATTGTTGTACGCACTGCGCAACGGAACGGCGGGCTTCTTCTCAATGTACGGCGTGCAGGCGGCCCGTATATGGTGGGCCATTCGCCAGTGCAGTATGCACACACGCGACTCGTTGTGCTCGTCGAGAAAAGTCGAGCCCATCAGTTCGTGCGCCTCTGCCAGCCGCAGAGCAGGATAGTTCAATTCTTTTTTGAGATAGTCAAATATATGATGAGCTCCCTTGAGGCAGGCGGTGCGCAAGGCGTCGTCCCCATAGCGACTGGTCGCAAAAGGATCGGCTCCCTGCTCTATCAACATTCTGGTGGTATCCAGTCGATGCTCCTGAATGGCATAGTGCAACGCCGTCTTGTCCTGTATGTCCCTCGCATTGATGTCGGCTCCTTTGCGCACCAAATACAAACAGAGATGGACCGATTGCACGGAGTTGATGAGACAGGTGCCACCATTCACATTTGGCCGCTTGATGTCGGCCCCATTCTCCACGAGAAACTTGACTGTAAGCAACAATTACGTGTGAGTTAATATGACGGTGGGTTGTCTTCAATTGTCGTAATAGAAATGTATGTTGTTAAGAATGGTGGGAGCTGAGCAGCTGCCAGGCCGAACGATTAAGAAATCCTCACCTATATCCGTGTGAGTCATGTAGCAAGCACTACGCACAGGCGTCGAGCCCGAGTCGGAGGGGGCGTTTATATCGGAGCCGATGCGCACCAGATACTTGACCATGGACAGTCTGTTTGACACGACGGCCGCCCACAACGGCGAGACATAGTGGAAGCTGTTGTCCTCGAGCACCTCGTAGTGACCGCGCTGCTCGATGTCCGCCTCGCAGATGGTTATCAGATATTCGGCAACGACCACAGCACCTCGCCGGCTGGCAATGAACAGGGGGGCGCATCCATTGCGCTGCCGCCGCACAACCTCGCGACGTGACTCGCGTGGAAGCCTGCGAATGAGAACGGGAACGGATTAGGACGGAAGTTCTGATCAGCACGTGCAGCCATAAATTTCTTGGAGGCCGCGATTCGCTTGTCTATGGGCGCTCGTTGATAAGGCGACAGGTTCAACGACGCCAAACAACAATCAAAACATTGATTGCTGAGTATTTCTCAGCCTCTATCGCGAGCGCCAAGCTTCAAGGCATGCGAGAGCCGCCACTACACTCGCAATACATACTTTTCTAGCTCGTGCCGCAGGTGACGGGACAATATGGAGTATTCCAGGCTGCGCTTGCACTCTTCGATGAGCTCGTGGCTCAGTTTAATCAGCTCCACTTTGGGACTTGACTGCTTCCGTTCGTTAGCCATGGACGCGTTTCATCGCCGATGGTATGTTAGTGGTTGCCTCTGGCTGTGCTCGCTTTGTGCGTACGAGCTTGCTTCCTGGATTGTCCTTGAGCCTTCTGCAGCGCGACGCGACACTGACCTACTAACTTCGGTTCAGAACTGGGCGAGCGCAGGCGAGGCGGGGCGTGGCGGGACGTTGGCGTCAACTAGGTTGCGTTCCCGTCTACCCAAGGACGTGACTGCGGTAGATTTTCGCCTGACTGGCCCCCAGTACTTTCTTTTTTTCTAATCAATTTTGAGCACCTTCCGCGAATGTAGAACGGCAGCACTTTTAGCACGGGAAAAGGGAAAAACACCGATTGCACTGGGAATGGTATTAACTTAACAAAAAATAACTGGGTTTCTTAGTGTTTGTTTCTGTGTAAAACTAAATATTGTATTGTTTTTTCGTTTCGTGTGTGCCAACTCCAAGCAGAAAATAACTGAAACAGCTGATCTAACATAGCACCATAACAGCAAAGTAGGCTGTTCTGTTACCAGCCAGTGACAGCCAGTTTCAAAACAAAACGACGATAAATTCCGTTTCGCGTACACAACACCTATATTTTTTAAACTGAGAATCGATAAGCAGAATAAAATTCCGTGCTATATGATCTAACGACTGGAAACAACTGAAAAATTGTGTTGATTTTGTCAGATTTCAAAAAGGTGTTGTGTCGATGATGTTTTTTGGAAAAACATATTTTCGGTAGCTGAAAAAATTAACACTTGCAAAGATATGTGATCAACAAAAAATACATATATCGATATATTGATATCGATATAAAGTTGACATCCCTAAGTACAGCAAAACAAACGACGCGCTTCGCTTGTCTGTCAAGAAATATTTTTTGTTGTTTGTGTGATAAACGTGAAACAAGAGGGCTAATGGATGCTACGGCGGCAACTGATGCTACGGGGGCAGTGGTTGGGGACAAGCTGGAGATGTTCCGGCAACTAAATTTGTTGGAGCAACATCGTGTGGAGAGTTTCAAGGACTGGCCCTTCCCCGAGCAGTCGTCCTGTAGTATATCCAAGGCAAGCGGATTATAAAATGGTTTGTGTTTGGTCCGATAATAATTAGACACATTACAATGCAGATGGCTGAGGCGGGCTTCTATTGGACGGGCACAAAGCGGGAGAATGACACGGCCACATGCTTCGTATGCAGCAAAACCCTGGATGGCTGGGAGTCGGACGACGATCCCTGGAAGGAGCATCTGAAGCACGCCCCGCAATGCGAATTCGTCAAGCTAGGATGTGCGGAAAAGGATTTGACGGTAAGTGCGCAGCAGCAGCCGCATTTGGAACCACTTTTCATCATTGCACTCCTTTCGTAGGTGACACAATTTCTAGAAATACTGGGCCGTGTGGTCAAGACCAGCATAGAGAAGAATTGTAAAGCCTTCAAGCAGAGCTTTATTAGCGATAACGAAAACAGTCTGGATAAGTTTACGCATAACAAATAACGCTTGGATTAGCTGCGCGTATATTTAATTTTAACATTTTTATGTTGTAGCTATAGAAATCACTTAATAAATCAGGTTGGCAGCCCCGAAGCACAAATCATCTGTTCCCCCCTGGTTTGTCATTCGGTTTGTTTTGTTATCAGCTCGCGCTCTCATTATTTAAATCTCAAAAAGCGTTATGATAAAGCGAAAGCTAGCCCTGCGGACAGCGGAACTGTCTGATGAGCACCCCAAAAAAGCACCCATGAGTGAAGAGACCACATCTGCTCTGTTTGCTCAGTCCCCGTGGCAGCAGTTCTACAACATTGAAGTTAGCCTCAATGAGGCGCTTGAAACCTTTGCCACGCCCCCGACCATTTCATGCACATACAATCCCGTGGAGTACGCGTCATCCCTGCACTGCGCCTATTTGCGCCGCTTTCTAGATGGACCGAAGCGCGTCATGTTCATAGGCATGAATCCGGGACCCACTGGCATGGCTCAAACGGGAGTACGTTCAGGTCAGCTTGGCTCCGTCAGCAATTAATCCAAAATCCTCTTATAGATTCCCTTTGGCAATGTGCGCACTGTAAGCGAGTTAATGGAGATCTCCGGAGAGGTCGGAAGGCCGCCAGTAATCCATCCTAAGCGACCAGTTGTGGGCTTGCAGTGCAAAACAGAGGAGCGTAGTGGGGTGCGCTTGTGGGAACTATTTCTACGTTTGGCGGGCGGCCGACTAGACACATTTTCGCGACAATGCTTTGTGCATAACTTTTGTCCACTTGCCTTCTTCGATGCTGCCGGAAAAAACATAACACCGACCGAGCTAAAGGGTCCGTACAAGCAGAAGATCCGTGACGTTTGCTTGGATGCCTTGGAGAAGCAGTTGCAGATTGTCAGGCCCCAGGTGGTGGTGGCTGTGGGCGATTATGTGTATCAAACGTTGCAGCGCTCGGAATACTGCAAAGCGGTGTCTTTGCTGCGTTTGGCGCATCCAAGTCCGCGTTCTGTAAACAACACAAATTGGCCAGAGAAGGCTCAGGAGTTTCTGGAGCAGCATGGCTTGATACAGTTCATGCGTAATGAGGTATAAACAAAGGCATTTTCAATGCGTGAACTGAAAGAACCCATCGATAAAATTCAAGGACATTCCGCTGGCAATATCGGAAGGCATACAGGCCCAAAAATATTCACAATCCGTACAAAATATTCATAATAAAATATACAATAATTTATTTAAAATAATAACAAAACGATAACATCGAAGATATCAGATCGTGCTCACCTCTAATCAGCTGATCAGCGCCTTCAGTGTTGAAAAGCGCTCGCTATTTTGTCGTCGTCTTTTGTTTTGTTGATTTTTTTTCCCCCAATTTCCTTGAAGATTTTTCCATGCCAAATGGCCGCTTTTATGGAGGAAGCGTTGATGGAAGCGCGACGAGCCCGTGACGCAGGTGAGGTGCCCGTTGGCTGTGTCTTTGTGCATGAGGACAAAGTCGTCGCACGTGGCGCCAACGAAGTGAACGTATCCCGGAACGCTACCCGTCATGCCGAGTTCATTTGCATCGATGCCATCTTGGCCTACTGTCGGGAGAAGAATCTGCCAGCACGCCAAATGTTCAGCGAGATCATCGTGGTGGTCACCGTGGAGCCGTGCATCATGTGCTCTGCGGCCCTGCACACATTGGGCGTCCAGGAGATTATTTTTGGTTGCGAAAACGATCGTTTCGGCGGGAAGACGGTAGTGAATGTCGGCGCTGTGGTGGGCAAAAAAATCAAAATCACTGGAGGCGTGCGCGGCGACGAGGCCATGGCGCTGCTGAAGGAGTTCTACAAGGGCGACAATCCGGCGGCGCCGACAGTGGCCAAAAAGAAGAATTAACATTACTACACCTTAGAACCTGTCCCTAAAAATTTCACTCGAAGTAATGTTTATTATAAACTTTAAGCATAGTCTAAGACATATGTATATGGCGTTGTGAACATATGCTTAAACATAAATACAATTACAAGGAAGCTACAGCATGGACATGTGTGTAGTGATGGCTGTGCCTGTACAACAATAGGAAGACAACTCAAAAAAATATTTTTGTATTTAAAAGATTTAACGAGAATGTAAATGCAAGGGCTTGGCCAAATCATGGGCGTTACCTACCCCAGAAATTTGTATTAACCTACTGTAGTTTTCCTATTAAAAGGAAAGGAAAACTTTTCAGGAAAAGTGAATGGAATTTTATTTAATCGGACGAAAAAAAAGTCCTTTGAAATGTTAGTCAATTTGTTAAGTTGGCGCCAAACAGCAGGCTATGTTCAGAATTAAAAGAAACTCATACTATCGATAATACTATCGGAGTTCACTAAATTGTGCGCTTAACAGCACTAAATTATAAGTTTATCACAAATGAGCAAATGTGAAAAAAATTTGAAAAACGGAGGTACAAAAAAACGAAAATGCAATTTTGACTAACAACTCCAAACGTGAAAACAGTATTTATTTATATATTTAATATTATTCAATATCAAGTGCTCTTTGTTGGTTGCGCTGTTGCTGCTGCGCTCCCTGCGTTTCCCCAACTTACGCGACTGTGGATCTAGATTGATGCTGCCGTTGATGTATGCAGCCACATCTATTGCAAACGTGGATGAGACCTTCAACGATAGCTGGGGGTTTCCCTTTGTTAAGAAGAAAGTCTACAAATTGCCGACTGCACATCGGAAATTGTTTAAAATCATATTAGGGCTAGAAAAAAGCGACAAATTTCAGTACTTACAGCTGCTGCGTTAGGTTTTCAACCTGCTGTTTCTCAGTGTTTTTGTCTACCTGATACTGGTCCCTTTCGACCGTGACGCGAGCATTTTCCTCCTCTGACACTTTTGTAAACTCCTCCAAGCGTCTGATTTCCTGCTTCTGGAGCGCCTGTTTTTCATAGGCATGGCTTAGCTGCTCCTCCATCAAGTCCAGCTTGAGGCGCATCTGCAACCAGAAATACATATATAAAAAGCATATTTTAAGGGCTATTCCTCGACAAAGGACCTTATTTATCTGTGTGTCCTTGTCGGCAGATTCCAAACAAAGTTTTTGATAAGCTCTTTGGCTGTCAGTTTCCTTCAGACGACAGGCATTGATTTCTTCGGTGCACCGGCATATCATCAAGTCGTCGCGTTTCGCTTGTGCCCTCATTTCGCCCACCAGCTGCTGGGACCCATATAGCTCTGACTTGACATGTTCCAGATCTATAAGCGCCTGCTGCATACTCTGAGTGCTCTCCTCTGATTCGTGGGGCTCGTGTTCCTCCTTCCATTCGGCCTCCAGATAAGCCATATGCTCCCTGCTCTCGACGAGCTCGATCCGTGTCCGGGCCAGCTCAGCAATCGACTCCGCCAATTGATGCTCCAGATCCAAATTGCTATTTAAAGATAGATAAGTTAGACACAGTTCATCTGGGATGTGGTCGCTTCACTCACAGAGACATTTTCTTGTTTGATTCAGCCATTATCGATTCAATGGTGTTGTCCTTATGCTTCAGCTGCCTTTCGTAATCGTCTCTTTGTGCCTCGCAGTCCCGCAGCAAATTCTGCAGCTTCTCCAACTTCGGGTGATATTTGTCCTGCTCCGCCTTCAACTTAACCTCGAAGTCCGCCTGGAGCCGATGCATCTTTTCGTTGTGAGTCTTTGTGATCTCTAAGATCCGAGCGTCCATAAACTCTTTATGTTTCCGCAGCTAAAAGGGAGAGGCCTGAGTCCTACAGTTTAAGCGTGTGCTATTCAGTCATACCAGAAGACTCTTTAGGTTGACTAGGAGCTCCTCTTTCTGTTGGGACGCCTGGAACTCGTCGTTGGCCAACCGGATGCGCTCCAGTTGATCGTAGAGCAACATGAAGCCCGAATCCACGGCAGCCTGGCAATGATCCTTAAGATCTTGCACACACTCTGTGGCTACAAAAGGAAAGACGCTGGTGTTGTTTAGGATGGGAATTTAATCCTCAGAAACTCACGCAAATTCAAGATCGGGTCTTTATTTTGGACAACCCACTTGCTGTCTTCGTCGGGCACAAGGGGCATACATTTGTACGTGCCAATCATCTCGGACTGTAGCGGATCTAATGACCCCAACGATTGTACAAGATCCGATTGATGGGATTCCAGCATCTGGATTCGCATGTGGGATTCGCCCTGGACTGCAAGAGATTCGAAAAAAGGACCCGAGGGAAATGAGATGAGGGGTTAAACCTACGTGTGTCGTCTTCCGTCGTTACGAGGCTCTGGGGCTGCTCAGCAGTGATGTTTAGGTCTATCGCTGGTCTCAGGATTTTGGATTGTGGCTTCTCTAAGTCTGTCTTAGGCTCGTGTTCAGACCCCTGGCAGGAGTCGGAGTCCATTACTGGAAATGAAGTTGAGGCAGTGCTGCCCTTGAACTTTCCTGGAACCCCACCTCTCGAATACCTCCCAAGCGACATTGACCTCCTGGATCGGGATGTAAGTGCCGGTGAGCTCGATTCATCACTCTCGACCTGGAGAATTTTACTTATTAGGTGCTCAGGCTCCCCGCCCACCCTTCTATCGAAGCAACTCACCCATAAATTATTTACCAATGAGCGAAGGTAGCTAGCCTTCGTGTCTGCAATGAATTGAAGAGGAGTATGTTGGGTTCATAAATGCTAGGGGACTGGTAACTCACGGCGAATGTTAATCGGGATTAGTGGCATATTGAATATTTAAAAAGTAATGCAATAAAAAAAAAAAAAAAAAAATCAATTTATAACAATAATAATTTTAAGTGTAGTTTGGAAATCAGAAAGTTTGTAAATGCTCAGTTCTACTGTTGAACTAATTGCTGTCACAGCTAATGCCGATGTTACTTGTACTGGGATCTGGTTTCAGATTAATTTATGGAAGTTGGAGCATGGATAAAGTGATCAACTCACCATGGAACGATATGTATCCAGCCAGTGCATGCGACGAGGCCAAGTACGTTTCAACGGCTTTAAACTCAAGAGTTTTATTTATTCAAGTTACTCCCATTGCCCAATTTCGAATGCAAACAAAAAATATCGATAAGCAGGAAATTTAGCGGGTATATATCGAAGATGGCAAGGTGTGCAAAAGGTGACTGATGAAATGTTTGTGATTTTTTTATTTTAGTAGGTGTACAAAAATAGTCTCTAAATTTTAAAGGTATCTAAGCTACCAAAAATATGCAGGAATCTAACTGATTAAGGAAAAATATTCTCTTTTAGCTTGTTGTAGTTACCATGTAAAAAAGGGGACATATCTTTTGAGCTCCTTGTTCAAGCCTTATTTTAAACACAATCCAGTAAAAGGAGTTTTTAAATTTAGCCAATATTGTAGAAAAATGATTGATTAATCGGGCAAAATTTATTTTTTGCGCTGAGTGTTTCTAGTTGGCCAGCAATATTCAACGGAATATCAAAATAGAGGAATATCGTGGCCTATCGCATAAAAGTATCGATAAATACCTATGCATCGCTAAGATACATAAAAATGAAGATTGGAGAAGTGAAAAATCAAAATATCATCTATTTACTCAGAAAAGTAGTTCCGTTGATGATGTATCCGCAAAAATAACACCATTTCGCAGGTACAATACATATCACCTAAAAATATCAGAACAAAATATATATCGATATATTGGCAGGTAAAAATTAGAATCTCTAACCCCCCCTTCTGTTTTCAACAAGCAAGCCCCAATACTAGCCCCAACTAGTCCAACGTCGGTGGTGGATAAAACCGCCGCGGTCGCGAAACCCAGAAAACAGAAGTAACGCCGAATACGTTTATAAAAATTTAGAATATCAATTGCGTTGATACAATGTTAAGGTAGAGACACAATATCCCTTATTGATATTTCGATTTATCAAAAATAACAACACCACCCAACCTCCCCTCGCACAGGACGCTCTATCGCTGTGGAGTTACCCCCCACCCGCGTCATTGTTTTTGTTTGTTGTGTGTTTAACGTTTTGATCAATGAAAACATTCGATTAAATGGACGCTGATTTGTAAATGTGTTGCTCGGATAAATAAGCCAGAGAAATAGGGACCGTGCAATGCATTCTGCCGCCGGGAAGTTCATGAGAATTTGACATTTATGTGGATGTTGTGGCTGCGCCAAGCCGCTTGCTGCAAAAGAAACTAAATCTAAGACTGCTGCAGCGGCGTGGGTCGAATTCGCGCGGGACACACCCACCCAAAAACAAAAGTAGTCCAAAGGCCGCACTCTTTCAGTGGTGTAGTTTATGCACACCCATACATACATGCGGTTGTACGTGTGAGTGTGTGTGTGTGGAAAGGAACCGGGGGCGGGCAGCAGAGGGACCGGTTTCGCAGAGCGCGATTTACGAGTAATTGACAAAGCAAACAAATACTCGTACAACAACGAATGCCGTCATAAGCGAACTACCAAATGGTCCAGTGAACGCGCACTCCAATAAGAAAGAGATTCACCATCCATCCTGTGGAGTGACTGCTTCGGCGAAAACGATGCAACAATCCTGTCCAGGAATCTATAATTAGCTATATTCAGAGTACGAGTCCCACGCCCTAAACATGGGCTTGCCTCCGCTGCAGACCCAACCGGGCACATTCCTTGTGGCCCTTGGCCTCTGCTGCTGGCTTCTGGCGACGGCCAACGCACACAACTGTCAGCACCAGCATCCCAAAGCCCATGAGGTAAGTGCCATCGATTGTGGGGGAGAGGTGGAGGAGGAATCGTGGTGTTGCCAGGAAACGAAAGAAAAGCAAACACACAAATAAAGGAAACTCCACGAAATGTCCCTTTTGTGGGAGCTTTGCAAAAACGCTACTTGTAACGAACAAAGGGTACATTCGGTTCATTTGGATGTTTGTTAAAGTCTTCTAGAAAGTGAGCGCATCATTATTTTCCCTTCCCGAACCAGAGCAACAAATCGAATTCTGTGAAGGCATAGAAGCTGAATGTTGTATTCGATTTTTCCAAATGGATACAAATAGGGGGAACAAATCTTTTCATTGTAATATTTGTTATTATGAGAGTAAGCAAGGACATCAAAACGAATATATTATTGTCGGAATACGCGGAATGCCGCATTTTGTCGATTTGACGAAAGCTCCTAATTGGTCTTGTTTACAAAGGAGGATTTTCCACGAATACATCTAATTAGTGTGTCATTAAAGTTCACTTAAATTAGGTTTCTCATGCAGCCAGCCAGCCAGCCACCCGAATGATTCTGGTTAAAAGCAAGAGCAATGGAAACCGCAGCTTATTGACTAATGCCACTGAATGGATAATTATATATGCGCACTTAAGATTCAGCAGAGTGCAGTGCAGTGCATGCAATGTGGTTACCAGAGGTTGGGTTGGGTCGGGTTCGTTGGATGGTTGCCTCACTGCCAGCACCTGTAGCTACTGTACCTACATATGTATGAGCGAGCGATCTGATCTAGTTATGGTCTTAATGTCAGACACTGGCCGCCAACTGGTTACAGCCAGGTCCCTATTGGTTTTTGGCTTTGGAAAAATAAAGAATCGAAAATATTTCACAAAATATCATAAAAGACTGATCATCAAGGTAATCCAATCTTTTTCAGTTCGAAAATCGATTTGCAAAGTAGGGTATTCAGAGCTTCATATGCCCCATCCGAAGCTAAGATTCCATTATTTTGTTTTTGCTGCTTTGGGGATTTTCTCATATTTCATTTCTTTCCAATCAACGGGATTTTAATTGGCATGTCGCCATAGACAAAGGTCGCCTTCAATTGTGCAATGGGGGAAATTTACATGACTAGTACTACAGTTCCAGTTCCAGTTCCAGTTCCACTTCCACTTGCTCTCCTCCCCGCCCTCGGAGTAAAAGTGACTTGAGAGAATTAATTCACGCTGCCTGTTTTTATCTAACGACGCTGTCGAGGTTGACCGGCGGGCAAATAACTTAATTATCTGTAACTTAAACTCTTATGAGTGCAAAATACACCGCCAGAGGCCGTCTCCCTTTCAACCCAGAGATTTCGCTCTCTCTCTCTCTCTCTCTCTCTTACACTTTGAGATCGATCCTGTCACGTGCCGTGGTTGTGGAGATTTAATAAATAAATATATGCTGGAGATATGTACATATATGTATGTTTGTACTTTGACCGTAAACCCCCAAAACCGCAAAGCTTTCGTTACTTTTATAAATGCTACATTGTACGGGGTATATACTCATATAGGAGGAGAACACGATTCTAATTAAGCTGGTATAAATTGAGTGGAAACAAGTACATAAATAAGCCCGTATTGTACGTACAATGTAAAATTTCCAAATTGAATCATTTGTCGACGTTGCAGTGACAGCGATGCTGTGGAACTGTTGAAAGACCGACCGGATGAGTGGATGAATGCGAATACAGATGCACTTCGCTCGGGCATTTGTTAATAAAAAGTATCATGAGAACTGCGAACTGAGTCATGCATCGACTTGCACGCAAATTCGAAGTTTGTCAATTGTACTTAAGCTCTCCGAAGGCGTTTCTACTTAAGCTTCCTTTCGCTCTTCGCTTGAATTTCGCTCTCCCAATTAACGCTTGAGGAAGCTTCAAGAAGTTCGGTTGGCTGCGTGGCAAAAGTTTCCTCTCCAATTAAATCCAATAATCTGTTGGAGTTTTTTTTTTGTTCGCAGAAAGGTCTATGCATGATTTGGTTTGCACTTCGGTTTTCATGTTTTTCTTAAAACTATATTCTGAAATTTAATCTAGTTGCGAGATTATGTTTCCTCGCATATAATCAATTTTGTTAAGTGTAGAGAAGCCCGCTTTCTGTAGCGCCAGAGGTAAATGGAGCGCTTTTTGTTCCGTTGTTCTGCTTGTCATTTTCAATAAACGACTCGTTATCCATTGTACAATAATAAGCGAATTATGAGCTTCTGTTATACAGTCGTTCAGCTGCAGCAACTCATGTATCCAGCACGTGGAATGGTGGGAGGAGTGGGGCCTAGAAAGTGAGAAATATGACGGGCACTTCAGCAGAACTTGTTGCTGTTGCTCAATCCAATTACTAACACCAGCAGCAACTGTTGGATAAGCAGGAGAAGAACTGAACAAAGGAGGGTCTAGCTGCAGGAAAAACCGTGGGGGGGTAGCCGTTATAAAAGCAGTAGAAACAGCCGTCGCCGGGCAAATCAGCATGCGAATGAATAGACTGTAGACTGCAGACTGTAGTTAGTAAAGCGTACTACAGACCGCTTCAGGGCCATTAAATGAAATGGTTTTGAAACGAACTTGGCGAACTGCCAACAAGCGAACAAGTGTCTTTTGCAGGAGAAGAGAAGTTTCATTGTACATACTCGTATTGTGACCACTACAGTACAACTTCCCTAAAGACGACTTACCCGAAACGAACTTTCATACCAGGATAGACATATTTTCCTCCTATTATTCTTTAATCAAATGTATAGAAACAAAAAACCTGTCCTAATTAAGACTAATTTTTACGATTCAATCATTATGTAAACATGTATGATGACGGGTCTTGCTTCAAGTATCTGACAATGTAATTTACATTTTATGTAAATTTTTATGTTTATTTACATAAAAGTTAACATGATATGCAAAATATACAAAGATAACAAAAAAATGAACAGATTATGTACTGGTACGAGGACTGCCCTTTAAGCATTCATGTTTTTTTGTTGAATCTGTGTTGGAAGCTCGACTGTACCCTGTACTACAACAGGAAACGTTATGATGGTCGAGGTCATTGGTATGGTATGGGATCCCTTGCACAAGCCAACGTAAGCCCCGCAATGGGCATCTGGTAGCAGGCCTTTGAAACCCCCCTTTTTCCCGCTCCATTCTCGGCGTGCCAATTGCTGGAATTTCAATTTGAACGGAACGCTCTCACGGGGCTCTGCGGCTACGTGCCTGAAAAGGCAACTATTCCACTTGTTTTGATGGAAAGGCAGACCACGCCAGAACGGAACCGATTAATAACAGTAAGCTGCGTAAATTGAATGAGATAGACGAACAGTGCTAATGGGCTTTAATCCGCGTGATCAGATAGTGCTTGGGGGGAGGTCGCCAGTGAATGCATTTAATGATTTCGATTAAGTAACACAGTGTCAGGCCCCAGTCGCGTCCCCCGCCGTACACTTCCAATGCGGTCAAGCTGTGAGGTAAGAAATAAATTGAGTAAAATGATAATCAGCAAACAGATGAGGCGGAGAGCGGTACGGACAGACACCAAAAGAGAGCATCGCAAAGTTGCACAGCCATAGAGCCGTTCAGCATGCAAAGTAGCCGTCGGCAAAAAAAAAAAAGAGCAGCTCAATATTACAACAAACAATTAACGGAAAACGGAGAGTCGGGAGAGCGGAACAGTGCGAGAATACCAGATAGTGAGATTGAGAGTGGCGTGCCAATGAAAGTGAAAGCACAAACAAAATGCTCAATGGAAAGCAACAACAACACACTGGCTTGAAAGCTTCAACGGCCCGTTCCATTGATCTGCCGAACTTGAGCCGAGCATTGAACGAACGCAGGTGACGGTGACAGTCGTCAAAAGCCGAAAAGGAAGAGAGAAAGAGTCAAAGAAATGCTGTCATGCACGGCCGACCGACAGACACACAGACAGACAGACAGAGACGTAAATAATTACTCAACCGCCGATCGATGATCGATTCCCGCTCCCAAATTAGCATGCGCAACTGGACAAACCGCGTTGGAGCTTCATAATCCCAAGGCACGGACTGGGCGGGGCTGGGCAGGCGTGGTGCGTGTCTTCGGGTTTTTTGCTATTTATGCTTACCAGTTTTTGTGCAGCTTATTTGTTTGGCTTTAAAAGTAAATACGGGAGGTAATCAAGCAGGCGCAGGCGCAGGCGCAGCCAACTGTGGCTTTAGCGGTACATTTCTCTTTTCTTTATTTGCTTTGATACACTTTTTATGCATATACCCTGGCCAAGGGTATGCCAGGTCTTAGGAGCCGAAACAGAGCCGAAAATAACATCAAACTAAGAAAAGTCCAAGACTATACATTGATTCATAGATCACATGACTGTGGCTTTGCGAAACTTTCCGATGAATCAGCAAGGGTATTGTAAGCTTCGGTTCGCCGATAATTTGCTATAATTTTTGCCTTAAACGTGAGTCGCATTTCCAAAGCTGGACACGCTCGAATGTGGCCCACAAACCGAGAAAATTTGTTAGATATTCCAATCTTTCTGCTTTGAATGCAAGCCAGTTGGCCATTACGTCTTATCGGAGATTGAATAAGCGTACAGTATGTAGGTGCACACTGCGATAGTTAGAAAGTGTGTCCGAAAGGGTGCCAGAGTGAATCAGTCATTCTTTGAGCCTCAAGAGCATGGTATTAAGTAAATACAAATCACTTATAGTATAGAACTGATCCATTAATTTCCAAAGCACGCACATTGCCCGAATACCAAGTTGTTTGTAGTCCATATTGGCCAAATTCTACGGGAAGTTTCTCGAGTATCATCGTTTCATTCGGAGTCCAATGCATCAGAGTCAGTTCAGTGCCAGCCTTGAAAAAAGTTCCATCGAAAGTGTTCATGATAGACCAAGCGATAGACTCACCAAATACGGACAGCTGTGATTTACATTCGTAAACTGCTTTAATGTTGAGTAAATTATATTGGGAATAAACAGTTTTCGGCGGTTCCTGAAGAACATGCAAGCATCCACCTTCATATCGTACAGAAACGGATGCCAGCCTCCGCTTTCGCGTTTCACCAATCGGAAATGGATTTGTAACTGAAAAAATAGACACACTGTATGCAGTTTATGGTGTCTTTTTTGATCACTAGTTACTTCTGTAATGGTTCTGTTCAAATATGCCACAATATTCAACATGTTGCGCTTCCGATCGATGGCCTTGATGGCACACTCTTTGATCCAGCCCAGCTGGGGGCTAAGAATCTCGCAGGCCAGCGAATTGAACTTGTAGGAGCCCTCAACCTAAGGAATACTAGATTAGAGATTCCGAGTCAGAAGAGAGCCACACTCACATGGAAATAGGCTAGGCTTCCCAGGAATATTGCAGAAAAATAAACCACTCTCGTCATCCTCTCGATTTGTACTGGAATATTTCATTAGATTATACAAAACTTTATTAGTGTTCTGTTGATGTAGTTTTAATTATTTAAAATTGAAATTAAATGTGCATTTATAAATCATTTGTCGATTTTAATGATTGTTGTACAAGCGAATCGATTAATGAAATGCATTCACTCGCATCCATCGAGGAATGCCATTGGGTTGCATTCACCGCCGTCTCTCTCTCTCTCTACCTCTCGCTAATGGCTGTCCAAAACGGTATTGTGCGTCATAATCTTTCACCTGCCAAACGTTTCGCAGATGATTTGTAATTTGTGTGGTTTTTCAAATGCCTATTGAATGCATTCAACCGCAGAGATGTCGAGTTATTGGAGGGGCTACGGGGGCAGGGCAAGTGAAGTTTTGATCGTCACGATTGAAGCCGGCTCTTTGAAGGCTTACGCTTTGCCCATCTTTATCTCAGAGACAGATGATACTTTTGAGGACGGGGGTTGCCTGGAGACGGGGGTTTTTGAGCGATGATATAGCAGATTGTGAGTGCACGTGACAAGTGGCCCTTGAAAGCTTACTCATAATGATGACTAACCCCAAGATCACCTGCGACCTGCGAAGGAGGGAGCTTCAATCAGTGCTCCCTTCAGCACTTCAATCATTCCCACCTTCAGCACTACCATCTTCCCCCCTTCGCACTCCAGTCCTCCCCCCTTTCGCACTCGCAATCAGCCCCTGTTTGTTCAGCTCATTTCAAGGCCAAACTCTTTTGTCAGTCTTTTAGATAAATATCGCCATTTGCCATAGCTACTACCATACCATTACCTATTACCATTGTTGTTCTGCGACAAATAGGAGCTGGTTCTGGCACTGGCACTGGCTCTGGCGCAGGTGTCTCTTGGTGCCATTTAGCAGCACTCGGCAGCCCCGCACTTGGGAACACCTCACAAATCACTTCCCACGGCATCGTTTATGGCTTTTTATCAATTAAATCCCCAGCAGAATTGTCTGTCAATCCATTTTGTGTGCAAATTAGCTGTATTACTTTGTTCCTTTGTTGTCTGGCTTTTACTTTTACTTTCTGTATGTTCTTGATGGATGCGGCCCTAGGCCCCTCAGTCCATATAATTTTCACTTTAATGGACCCACCCAGGGTAATTGACGTGAAATTGAATAGCTTTCACGACCAGTCAAGACCGCCCCCGCCATTAGAGGGAGGCCCAGACGCCGCAACCTTAAATGAAAATATTTATAGCATGCCTCAGTCTTGACTGTGTGTGTGTGTGTGTGCATCTCGGAGATACTTGCCACGAATTTATGCCGTTGAGTGTCGCTGTCTGTCAAGAGATTATCATCGCCCCTGCCATGCATATTCAACGACGACGACATCTAATTTATTCCTAATAATTGGCACACATTGCACAATGACCGCAAAGCATATTTATTATTATTATTTTTTATTTTTGTGTTGGGCAAAAGACAAAACAATACCCCACTAATAAATGAGCAGAGAAAAAAAATACAATATAAGGGAAACAAGCAACACCAATCATTGACATTTTGGCTCTGCGATGTGCCAATCGTTCGACATTTTGGCGGGCAATTTAAAATTAATTTCCCTGCAATTTGCACAGACCAATTACTGCCTTTGCCTTTGCCTTTGGGTTTGGGTTTGGGTTTTTGGGTTTTGTGTGGCCTTTGTGTGACATGTCGTCATTTAAAATGTTAACAACAATATGAGAAAACTAGCAACAAAATTGAGCAGTTTTCGCTTTCGTTTAAGCACCGCTGAGTGATTTTCTCAGTCTTCCCTTTCAATCTCTCTCTCTCTCCATCTTTAGCTCATTATTTATATCTCTCGCTTTTATAGGTCGTCCATGGCGTGCGCATCCAACTGGCTGATAGCGATGATGACGACGCCGCCGGCAGCAGCGACGCAGCCGTGCATAGCGTGCGCCGGCGCAGCGTCACCGCCGAGCAGCCGCTGCGCATTCTGCTCGTCTATGATGACTCCGTTTACAGGTGAGTGCCAGCCACCAGGCACCAGACACCAGCCACCAGCCATAGCTCTAAAAAGTCCAGTCTCCAGACTTAAGGGCAACGAATTTTGTATACTCTTTTTATTGCTCGGGGACCTTGAAAGTCAATCGTTTTGTGGGGGAATCTGCTACACACTGAAAAAGATAGATAAATAATACATTTCTGTACAGAACTCATAGAAAATAGAACCAATCAATGCTCCTGAAGGATATACACCTAATTCCGTTTTTACACAGCTGATTGGTTCCAGAAAAAACCGTGTAAAACATCGTACATCATGCTAAATGAAATCAAATCGTGTACAAAATTTAAAATTTTGGTTTTTTTAACCGTGTTAAATCAAAAACGTATAAAAAAAAGACCGTGTAAGAACAGAATACAGCCAGGCTGCGTTTTTCACATTCACAAAAGTTTTTCGATTAACTTTTGAATACCCATAAATTGGGGCTCCCGTTTTCACATTCCGCAAGATTTAATCGTTTCCAAAACGAAAACATTTTCGTTGTCGAAATGCAACAAAACAACCTTAATTGCAAAAGGAAAAAAATAGATGACTTATTGATGCATTAACATAAACTTGACACCTATATCAGGTTAAATTTTTGTTAAACTTTTGCTTTCTTTATAAATAATTTTATTTTAACCCAACCTCATATTTGGCTCGGAAAAAATTGGCCAGGGCAACCACAATTTTAGTTTTGGTGCAAACAACAAAAAAAATATGTGAAAACTGGAGAACCTTAAAACGAAACAATCGAGAAATAAATCTTTCTATTAATTTTATTTTGTAGTTTTTTAATTTGGGAGGATTCCAACAACAACAAAACCCTTTTCGGCGAGTCTCGAGTCGATGAACCGCTTCAAGCACACTATGTGTATTTTGTTTTTGCATTCTCGGTCGCGAGCATCGGTCCCAGTCTACCAATGCTCCCTCCTCGCTTCTCGGGCATACTCTTTTCCACTCTTCGCATGTGCATCGAAGAATATATCTCGGGCTAAGGAGAGGAATAGTTGCAAAAGGAGCAAGGACGTGCCCTGCAGTAAGATCGCCAGAAATCCCCCTATTATTCCCCCGGCTTCCCCGGCTCCGCTAAAACGATCATACCCGCCTCTAAGCTAGGGTATGGAAATTGCCTTTAATTGCACTTTAATGGCAGGCAGCCAAGCAAACAGCAAAACAGTTTACAATCTGACTTGGCCGAATGTCAAGTTAAGGCCTCACAAAAAAAAAGAGGCAAAAACGTATCGTAGCCAAGAAAACAGCTCACTCTGTTAACTGTATCTGTATCTGTATCTGTATCTGTGCGTTGCTTTGGCCATGCACCGTTACCGAGCCGAGTCGAGTCGAGTCGAGTTGAGTAACACTTGAAGTCCAAATTGGTTTTTCAGTGCGGAGCAGCCGCAATTTGTCCAAATTAACGCAGCTAGGCGCGGTGGCGGCTCTCCTAAGGTTAGCCGTAGCCCCAGCCCCAGCAATTGTTCCACCACATCCCATCCAATTTACAGTAAAATCGAACGTCCCCTCGATTGGCCAGCGACAGCAGAGCGGACAAGGTCAGCAGGAAAACTTACTTGACTCGATTTGGCTTCGATATCAATCTCTCTATTAATAATATGGCACTTATGAACTGGCTGAAACAGGTGTAAACAGTGCGTTTCACAGGTATCAGGCAGCTAGCGGGGGGCAATAAGAGTGGGACAAATAAAAGTCAGAATTCAATTGAGAGATCATTTTTGTATTTATTCAAAAAAATCCTTAACTGGCTAGATTAGCTTATTTCTATCTTAAAAATTAACACAAAAAATATCAGCATTATACATGGAAAAAGAAGAGATCCTTTCCCAGGCCCTACAGATGTGCTCATCGAAGCTATAGTTAGCCAAAGGGTGCCTGGTTCCTTAGGCTCCTGGCAGGCGTACTAGTACAGGCCAGGGCAATCGATGTAACCCACTAGAAGATCATAGATAAAGATCTGAGCCGATCCTCCAGAGACAAGGGATGCACAAGGCGACATCTGCCCTCATAAGACGTCAACGGAGTGGAACAGGCCAAAGGCTGGAGTGCAAATTTCAGAAGCTTCCTTTGCAGTCTCTCGATGCGTGCAATTTAAACGACCCCAATGTTAGCCCAAATAAAGCCAGAATCCATGAAATCTACCAATACCAATTACCCAATTTATTTGGTAACATTGCAGCAAATAGAAGACACGTTGTCAGGGATACATATATAAATTGTCCCCCATTTATACGCTGGACTTGTTCTTCCAAATTCTAACCTCCCAACGGGCTCCAATCAATTATGAAACAAGCTGCTGTTGCTGCTGGGACTCAGGGGTGGTTGTCCACCCGTTTGTTTTTCCGAAAACTGAAAACTAATCAACCCGAAATCCTCTTATATTTCCATGCCTACGCCGTGTCGCCCCCTTTCAGGCTGGAGGAGGAGAAGTTTAATTTGATAAACGTAAGTGGTGGAAATTTGCTGATTCTCAAAGGTGTATATGTATCTGTTTTGACATTTAATAATGCACCCCTCTGACCTTTCAGGACACTGTGCTGCCGGAGGCCGTGCAGTTCTGGGAACAGGCCCTGATGGTCCGAGAGACCAAGGGCATTATACGATTGAATAGGTAAGGTTCGGGGACAAAGCCAGTGCACTGGCCAATTATAAAATAACCATGAATTGACATCTGTTTCTGCTTTTGTTCGGCAGGAAATGCGACAGCACACAGGTCTACGTGAAGAACGGCCACACCCACTGCATTGACCAGTGCAAGGCGACGACAATGTGCGGCGAGGTGCAGGTGCCCAACGAGCATTTGGATGTGGGTTTACCCTTTCACCTTCCCCCCAATTTCCCATGAATCCCTTACTCATATGCGAATGGATTGTGTTTCAGGTCTGTCGCGTATGCAATGCCACTGGCCAGAATTGCCGGATAGACAGCAATACCCAGCCGGGAGACGGCATCCAGAATGCGGACTTTGTGTTCTATGTTTCGGCACGGCAGACCCAGCGCTGCTTCAAGGGATTAACAGTGGCCTATGCGGCCCACTGTCAGCAGGAGGCGGCCCTGGACCGTCCCATAGCCGGGCACGCCAATCTCTGTCCGGAGAGCATCAGCACCAAGCCGCAGGAGCTGCAGACGCTCATATCCACAGTCAAGCACGAGATCCTGCATGCCCTGGGCTTCTCCGTTAGTCTGTACGCCTTCTTCAGGGATGACGAAGGACGACCGCGCACGCCGCGCAAATCGGAAACAGGCAAGCCGTTCCTGAACGAAAAGTAAGCAAAGATATAGGGGAAAACAGGAGCCTACACACTAGCACCCATGTAAATCTCCTTTCAGATTGCAGATCCATCAGTGGAGCAACGAGACCATACGCAAGGTGGTGCGCGAGAACTGGTCTGTGCGTGGTGGCCATGTCAATAAGGAGGTCGATATGATGGTGACGCCTCGCGTGGTGGCCGAGGCGCGTGCCCACTTCGACTGCGACAAACTCGAGGGGGCTGAGCTAGAGGATCAGGGCGGCGAGGGCACCGCCCTGACTCACTGGGAGAAGCGCATACTCGAGAACGAGGCCATGACTGGCACGCACACACAGTCGCCGGTCTTCTCACGCATCACCCTCGCCCTGATGGAGGATTCCGGCTGGTATCGGGCCAACTACTCGATGGCCACTCCCCTCAGCTGGGGCAAGGGTCTTGGCTGCTCCTTTGCCATGCGCAGCTGCAAGGATTGGATACAAATGAATCATGCCAGGTGCGATATAGAGTCTGCTCTTCCACACGGATAGCCATATACTTACTGTTCTGCCTGTTTTGATCTCCACAGAGGCCGCTCCATACATCCGTTCTGCTCGAAGGTCAAGCAGGATCCGCTGCAGACCGAATGCACCGACGATCGCAACTCGGTGGCGCTGTGCAATCTCATCCGGCACGACTACGAGCTGCCCAAAAGCTATCAGAACTTCGACAGCCTCCAAAATGTGAAAAGCGGCGAGGAGGGCTTCTACGGCGGCTCCGTTTCGCTGGCCGACCACTGTCCCTACATACAGGAGTTCACCTGGCGCAGCAAGAACATCATAGTGCGTGGTTCCCACTGCCGCTTCGTGGAGAATAATCCGAGTAACTACAAGACTTCTATTTGATTCTGCTCTTTGCTAAAGCAACTCCCTTGCAGAGCCGGAGAAGAACTTTGCCTTGGAGAGCTACGGCCATGGCTCGAAGTGCTTTGATCACAGCGAGGCCATGTGGGAGGAGCGCTCCTGCCATCAGACCCGCGAATGGCAGCACTGGGGCAGCGGCTGCTACAAGTACACCTGTTTCGACGGTCGTCTGCACATCCTGGTGGGCAACTACACCTACAAGTGCTCGTTCCCCGGCCAGAAGCTCTCCATCCGCATTGCCGCCAATGGCTGGCTGCACAAGGGTGCGATCATGTGTCCGCCCTGTCATGAGCTGTGCGGCTCCCACTTTGCCGCCCAGGGGAAACAGTGCCGGCCCGGTGAGGAGGCCGATCCACTCAACAAATACCCGCGCGACAATCTTGCCTGTGGCGCGGAGAGCAGACAACAACGTTCCGTGGCCATAATCAGTGCTGCACTCTTGCTGGCGGCGGCTCTGCGGCTGGGGCATAGTTAGGCCAACAGTCGCTGATCCACTTGAAAGCAGTTTTATTGCGTTGCTCTACGTGTATTTAGTGAAATTTGTACATTTTAGCTGTATCATAAGCTCAATTCGTCTAACTATAAGTCCCTCTGTAAACGTAATTCCCATACCCATGCCTCCCCTATCTAGCTATACTTATACTTATAATTGTAAATGTATTTTGTCCATCCCTACATGTGATCTTTGTTAAGTGTGTCCGTGAGAGATCGAATCACAGCAAACGAGGAGGACATTCACGGGCAGCTCTAAGTTCTAAACATTCCAAAGTCCGATGCAACTTTATTTGATGTTCGGGAGTCCCAGACCCGGCTCTGTGTTGTTATTTTGTTTCGCATCGCCCAAAAAAATACCTTGTTATTTATTATAATTGTTTAATTCTCGCTTTTCGAAATTCGTTGATTTGATTTTCATGTGATCTACATATTTACTCGATGATTAGTTTCTCGTCTAAGTTTAAAGTGTTTCAGCTGCCTATCGAGCATTTAACGAATGTATGTATGTGAACTCTGCCCTCAAATTGTAATATGTATTCTGTACTCTGTACTCTGTAGTGGGGATAGACTAGTGTGAGAATTGTGAATAAACCAAGAGACCATACCATGGCTTTGTATTGAAAGAAGTTAGGCTGGTTTCCATATTGTCTTTAAATAAAGTTTATTGTAAAGTCTATTCTAATACTTTCCTATTGAATGCGGTTCACAGATCCCCTACCAGTTTGTAGAGGATCTCGCTCTCACCTTCCGTGTCCTTTGCTGGAGATTCACTTGCTTTTCCATTACTTTTCGGCTTCCTTTTAAAGCGTTTGGCAGGGCTCTTGATGCGATTCGAGCTAATCAATGAGATTTTAGGTGATAATTGGTAATTATAGTCTTAATCGTTGTACTTACGCCTTTGCCAGCTCTTCGAGTACGGGCAAAATGGTGGAACGTGTCACTCCCTTGGACTCCTCCTCTTCCAGCTCTTTGGGATGCGCCTTACGCTTATGCGAACGACAGTTGGAGCCGTTGGAGAAGTCCTTGTCGCAGAAATTGCACTTGTACGGCCGTATGCCGGTGTGCAGGATGAGATGGGACTTCAATGTTTTGGTACGCTTGAATTCGGCACCGCACTGCTCACATTTGTGCTGCCTCTTGTCGGAGTGGACTACTTTGTGCTTGTTGAAGGTTCGCCGCGTCTTGAGCTTCAGCCCGCAGATGTTGCACTCGTAGATGGTGGCACTGTGCGTGTCGGCATGCACCTGGAAGTGGTTCAGAGATTAGTGATGCTCGGAGATGACTCCATGGCTCTACTCTACCCTGAGCCTGGCCTTGTTCTTAAAGCGTCGCTGACAGACGGGGCATTCAAAGGGACACTCGTCGGTGTGGACCAGCTTGTGGTCATTGAGAGCGGCGAGCAAATTGAAGCCTCTGGCACAGATGTCGCAGATGAAGGGCTTGATGTCATTATGGATGCCGTCGATGTGGCGCTTGAGGGTTGCTGACGTGGTGAAGAGCTTCGAGCAGTGGGGGCAGGAATTGTCCGCCTTCTCCTTGGCCGGCAAGTGGGTGCGCTCGTGGGTCTGAAGCTGAGCCACAGTCGGAAAGATGGCCCCGCATTGCTTGCACTCGAGATTGGGCAAGTCGTCGGGCATGACATTATGGACGTCCAGCATGTGTTTCTTGTAGGCATTCGGCTTTTTGTAGGTTTTGCGGCAGATGTCGCATTTGTATGAGTGTGTGGTAGCTTTCTCATCCAAGTGGTCTGGCCTAGGGTCATCCTCTACATCCGATTCTGTGCCCATTTCCCGCTCTATTTTCACTATTTCCGCATCATCGGGTGGCTCCTCTGATGGCTCTTTGTATGCATCCAATTTATATTCCTCGCCTTCGCTCTCATCTATCATGTCGGATGCCTCGTCGATGCAGTCATCTACCATATCCTCCTCCATACAGTCTGGATGTTCCTCTTCCTCAATAAAGTCTTCTTGCTCTTCCACTTCCTGTTCTTGCTCCTGTTCCTGCTCCTCCTGAATTTCTCGTTCTTCCTCTTCCATTATCTCCTGCACTCGGAAATGCTCTTCTACTTCCAGTTCAATTACTTTCTCCGGCAAGCGCCGCGGCGGCGCGACTGTTCTCGACATAACGTGCTTCCACTCGTCGGTCAGTAGACCGCAATCCGTGCGCAGCTCTTCAAAGTCCACATACCTATCCGTCGATAGGCTCTGCAATCTATTGAAGAGATTCTGGACGCGTCGCACCCGCTCCGAGAACTCAATCAGGCACTCCATTAGCGTAAAGCATTCCACACACAAGTGGTTGCTCAGCTCGTCCTCCACTTTGATCTGCAACGATAGGTTTGGTTTAAATATCTATTCATTGGCAGAGCCCAATCACTTCTTACATCCACCCAGAAGTATTTGCCAATGGCCATAGCCAACATGCTCGTCCAGGAGGACTGCTGATCCTGCTGGTTACGCGCATAGACGTTTGCGTTCTGCGGATGGTCCTTGGCGCACAGGCGACACCATTTGTGCCAGGGGGATGCACTTGCCTTGGCCACTGCCCCTCCAGCTCCATGGTTGGTCATTCTGCATCCGCAATCATCGAAAATATAAGATTTGTTTAATTGTTATTTATGTTTTGTAAAATTACGCGCTAGGCCACAAATAGGACATTTGCGGAGAGTTGAGCTGCCATATCATCAAAAAAAGAAAACATTTTTTTTGGTATTTTTAACATACCAAATATAAGGTTACTTTAAGCCATTTAAAAACCCATCTAAAAGATGAGCCTGAAGAATTTACGCGCCAAACAGGTGATATCTATATCACAATAATTATTTTTTTTATGTACAGAATAAATATAGATCCCACGCTGCTTTCTTCGCCCTTCCCGTCCGCCGTCGGCACCTCCTCCGCGGGGGATTCCGCTGTAGCTCCTTGTCCTCTCGGGAGGTTCAAGGGATTTGCTCCTGGATAGTTGTCCTGCTGTGGGTCATAGCCATGATGCCGCTGCTGTATCGCTAAGTCGACGTGTGGATATATTTTAAAATATATCTTTCTTCACACCGGACTTATGTATGTTTCCTACGCTTTGCCACAAAAGGAGTCATATCCGATTTACCCGCGCCAAACAGAGTCCTATCCAAGCATTACCGAGGCTTACTCGAGACAGACCAGGTCCTATCCCAGCCAGACAGAACCGTATCCCAGCAGGACAGAAGCGTACTCATTACAAGATCCGAACCTAACAAGCCATCTTCATCCTTCGACCTGGTTCACAAATAGCACAGAAAAGTAAATATTTTTGATTGGGAAAAATGTCCTTGATCCATCAGATCAGGGGCGTTTTTTGTATAACAGGAAGCCATCGCACGCTCAGATCGGCGCACAAAAGGCATAGAAAACTAAGTATGTATAGTTAGGGTTTTTGGAGTCCTTAACGAAGTATCAAGGATTTTTGGCTTGGATTTTGGATTTTTTAGCCGTTTTTTTCGGCTATATCTCGGCTATTTATAGGCCGATCAGAGTGCGGCATGTCATTTCGTGATCGGGAGAGTCCTGCAAATCGATTGCCGTCAGAAAAAAGGACATCCATTTTTTCACGATTTTCGCAAAAAATCATGATGGTTACATCATTAAAATTGCCAAAAATCGGCCTCATTTTCGAAGTAGAGATTTTGATGCCGTTTGACTCTCTGGAACCCCACGATCCTGGGAGAGTAGGTCCTGCACCGATCTGGCCCTGTTTATCTGAGATATAGCCTACCGAAGATTTGGATTTGCGTATCTTTAAAATGCTGGTTTCTTCTGTATGTTATATATATCTCTGCTTTACGGCAGCCGATCAGGGCGTGGCATGTCTTTTCGTGATCGGGAGAGTCCTGCCAGTCGACTGCAATCCGAAAAAAGGACATCCATTTTTTCACGATTTTCGCAATGATGTAACCATCATTAAATTTGCCAAAAATTTGCCTCATTTCCGAAGTCGAGATTTTGATGGCAGTCGACAGGCAGGATCCCCTCAGTCCTGGAAGAGTGGGTCCTGCACCGATCTGGCCCTATTTATCTGAGATATAGCCTACCGAAGATTTGGACTTGCTCTTCCTCCGGTGGCTATTAATACCTAATTAACATGGTATATAATAAATGTTTTGATCCAAAAATAATATATAATATAATTATTATTTTAGATTTTTTTAAATAACTATTATTTTTTTATATATTATTATTATTATTAATCAAGTGGAACATATTTGTATATACTATCTAAATATATGGATTATCCAATATATATCCTTAAACCTAACATCACCGAGATCATCTAGAGTCTAGCCACCGTAGTCCCTCTTTTGGTTGCCATAGTCAAGGTCCTTGTGGTCGATGGCCCGGTCGAAGGATGACGATGGCTAGTTCGGTACAGGTCTTGCAAGGAGGGCGCTTGTGTGCTGCTGGGATACGATTCTGTCTGGCTGGGATAGGACTTGGTCTGTCTCGACTAGGCCTCGGTAGTGCTCTGATAGGACTCCGTCTGGCGGCGGAAATCGGAAACGATTAGGTTCATGGTAAAACGTAGGGCACATAAGTCCTCTGTGAAGGACGATTTTAAAATATCATCCGGATGGGATGTCACATGGTCGACTCAGCGACACAGCAGTGGCATCATGGCTTTGGCCCGCGGCAGGACAGCCAGTGGCTGCCACAGTCCAGCCAAGAGCACATCCAGTACGTGTGGCATCCTATCGCATTAAAAATTCCCCATTGGACTATTAAATCAGAAATAAATACCCAAAAGAAAAACACATAAATGGCGCTCTTTTACAAAAATAGCTTATATTTGTAAAAATTCAAATAACTTTCTACTTAGCGTTTAGTATTGTATTTGTGTGTGTTATCAACAGCGTTAATTAGGTCCATCCTCACTCAAGCTCGTTTAGACGTTATGAGCATTCTTAATCTGTCCAATATTAAGTTCATCAGCGTTTAGCTTAGCAGCTAAGGTAAGTAAATTAAATAATGCACTAGACTTAGGCTACGTAATTGTACGACACAAGAATTGTACAACAGAATACTAGGAATACTAGGCGTCGCTCCAGCTGCCGTTCTACGCGGCATTATCCGACTTCATTGTGGAGCTGGGCACAAGATCCGCGCCGGCGAGGAGATCGGCACTTGAGGCCACGGCCGTGAGTACGGCATTCGCCTGGGCAGTCATCGCCTGGGCCTGGGCCTGGGCCACAGCGGCGGCATCCACGCCCGGGGCCGTGCTGATGGTTCGGGCCAGATTCTTTTGCTGTCGCACCAGCTTCTCCTTTTCGCGGGCGGCCTTCAGTTTCTCGAAGTCATCTCCCTCGTCCTCGGGCTCGGCAGCGGCACTACCGGCCAGCATATCACTGGAGGACTTGAGGTCCATGTTCTCCACTGCAAACACATACAAGACCATCCATTAGTCATAATAAATGGGGGCAAAAACCAGGTAAAACGTGCAATGATTATAAATACAGCTAGGACTAAGGCTAGGCAGGGTTTCAGTATGAATTTTGGAAATCTACCCAGAAAAGCTGGCCGGGATACAATAATTCGGGGAGTCAGGGCTAAGCTTGGGCGGGTTAGTACTCAAAAAGTGGGCAAAGGTTTCAAAAACACATGCCAATTGTTACAAAAACTATTCAAACTATCAAAATTATATAAAATTTAAAGAATAGTAACTATAAAAAACAAGGAGAACAATCAAATATTGTAAACCAGCAACGATTACGCAGAGCAAGCTAAAGGATTCGAACAAGTTATTATGGCCAATGGAGGATAGGATGAACATTACCGTTCGTGATGAACCACCTGAAAACCTGCGGTGCATCGGGCCTCTCTTTATACGAGTAATTCGCGAATTGGTTGAAAATGAAGATACACAAACGTTAAATATGAGTTTAGGAAGCAGCAGGGAACGCATTTACGGTACCGTTCCGCTCCCCATCCACCATGCGGATGGGGCCGGAACCCCGCACTTACCCGTCTCCCGACTGGCGGCCTTCTGTGGGTCATACAGCGACTTGCTGCTGTCCCCCACCGGGGAGCTGGGGGCCGTTGCGGCGTTCGACAGCAGCGAGGGACTGCCTCCGGCTGGTGCCGACGTGCTCAGCAGAGCATCCACTCCGCCGGGCGGGAACAGGCTGGGCTCGTACTGCGAGTGGGCGCGATTGTACTCCAGCGGACGTGCCGGAATGTCCACCGGCTGTGAATGAGCCGGAGGTGGCGGCTGCATTGCGGCAGCGACTCCTCCTGCCGTTCCTGGGCCAAAGATATTCATGACATTGGGTCGCGGCTCGTTGGCGCGCATGGAGGTGATGGTGGCCTGCTCGTCCACCTCCTCGATGACCTGCTGGGTGATCCGCAGGCTACCCGCTGGCTTGCCGGCCGAAGTGGCCGATCCCACGTTTCCAGCCGTGAGACTGGCCGAGCTGGCGCTGGCCGGGAACTTGTACGGTTTCTGATCATCGCTGGGCGTGGCCGATCCCGGTCGACTGTCGTCGCGACTGAGGAACCTCTTGAGGGCCGAGGCCACGGTATTCACGCGTGACAACGTCCCCGATACGCTGACCAGCGACGGGGACGAGCCCAGGCGCATTTTTCCATTGCCCGCCGAGAAGTGTATCCCGCTGGCATCATCGGCCTGGAGGAGAGAAGTGTCACATTAATACGGGACATCAAAAGACCGTGAAAGTGTGTGGTCCGGACTACTGTTACTTGCAACCGTTCAGTGCGTTACTTTTGGTGCAGTTGAAAGCGTTTGAAAGTCGTGCAGTGCGTGGGGGTGCTGTTAGAGGCTTTAGGCTGTAGGCGGCAGATAGTCGATTAGATGGTTAGAATCAAAAGTTAGTAGGCATAGTCTTAGGACCTAAAGAGACACAGACACCATCAAAGCGTAAAGTTAGGCGAGAATCAAGCACGGTTTGGTATGCTCAGGACATCAAATAGATATTCGGCCACAAGTTGAAGGCCTTGTTGGATCCAGAGCTACCACAGTGCATGATTTGCTTAAGTTTAAACAATTGTCACATTCGTTTATACGATATATTGTATTATTAGAACTATTTTTATATAACTACCAAGCACCGTTGTGTGTTTCAGAATGCCAATGAGAGGAGTGTGGTCCCAAAATGAGCGAATAAGAGGTTAGAAACTTTTGATTTTGATTAGGTTTTTTGTTTGATTTGGTCACATTGACAGATGAACGAATTGTTTGTCGGATAGCCAATTGGGAGACTGGTGCCAATGCTTCGTAACGCTAGAGAATGCTGCCAACGTTCTGATTCTAACCTCCTCATCTGGCGAGCCCTTGGGAAAGTCATAGGTTACTGCCTGCAGGGGCACGCCCTCCGCCTGTTCGGCGACGGGCGGCATGGTGTTGATTGGGGCAACGGCAGTGGGGGCGGCAGTATCATTACCAACCATTTCATCGATGCGCACGGAGGACATCGTCGAGGGCATGGCCGCGCTCTTGGGCACCTCGATCTTGGCAGTGGACGGCTCCGGGTGATTCTCGCGGAAACGCTCCGCGGCTATGGTGTAGGGCAGCTCGTTGGGGAACACCTCGTCCCAGTACTGATCCTTGAGCAGTTCGGGATGGTCGTGATGCATCTCGTCGACAATCAGGTAGGAGACCTGCAGATTGCGGTCCACCATCCAGTTGACCTTCAAGAAATATATCGTCTTTAAAAGAGGTTCTTGGCTGGCGGAGTCTCCTTTCTGTTTACCTCGAAGTCATCATCGTCCTCCCCAAAGGGATTGATCAGGGACTCGGCCACCTTCAGCCAGCCCATGTAGAAGAAGAACTGCAGCGTGGTGAAGACCGGGAAGTACAGATCCACCTTGTTCAGGTAGCTGGTGTTGCCCACCACCTTCCCGTCGATCCACTGCTGGCCCATGCAGCAGGTGAGAAAGTACGAGTACACGGCCAGGGTAACCACCTGGGTGTAGACCAGGGGCACACTGATCGTGTCGTAGCTGATCAGGAGTCCGCACTGGCCCCGGAACTTGTTCAGCTCATCGATGATGGTCTTCACGGCGAAGTCATCGCGGATGCGTCCCTCCTTCCGGGCGCGGGTGATGATGCTGGCGGCCCAGACAATCGGCAGCCAGTGCTTGGAGGGTCGCGGAAAGGACTTGTTCATGGCCTCGATGATGGTGCGCTCGTTGTCGTTGAGCAGACCCGCCTCCACCAGATTGTCGAGTCCCGGAAAACGCTTCTTCACCCGCGGTGACACATTCGCCAGCACCATGGTCAGGCAAAGGCAGGCATATCGCATGATGGTGCGCCTCATCATGCGTCCACGCTCGTCCTGGCCGTGCACATTGGAGCTGACAAAGACGGCGATAGGATCCGGCCAGGGTATGGAGGTGTACTGGTTCCACCAGCGGGTCATCACGATGGACACATAGAAGCCCAGCACGAAGGAGAGGGGTATGAGATCACTATAACTATCGCAGTACTGAACGATGGCCTCGAAGGTCCTGCAAATGGAACATCAGTTAAGCAAAATATATAGACAAAATGGTGGATGTACTCACTCCTTCTGGGTGGGATTGAGAGCGAACCGATATACCATATTGATAACATAATAGATGGTGAGGAAGGCCAACAGATCCAGCCAGACCAGCTTGTAAATGCTTCCGCGCCATCTGCAATCGAAAAGGATCATAAATACACTCGTCTTGCTGTACATCAGCCTATATAAATAGACCGGACACGTCAGGCTAATCAGCATATAACCGAGTATTGCCCTTATCAGCCGTAATCGTAATCGATTGCCAAAGTAGCGTTACGGATTCCCAATTGATCTTCCGTTGGCCAGCGTCACTCTGTCTGAGGATGAGACACTTGCCGCAACTGGAACGGCTACGTCATGGCCAAAGTTAGTCCTCAGACATGGGCCGATAAAATAGGCCACTTGTTGTTGACATTCAAACGTCATAAAATACATTTGACTGGTGCTCGGAAGGTAAACAATCCCTCCCGAAATGTGCGGCATTTGCACAGCTTATCAGTCGTACAATGCGTGATATAATAAAGACTCGTACGATATCTTAGGCCCAGAATGGGTGCCCCTTAATCGGGCAAGCAGAAACAAATTTATATGGTTTTTGGGAAACTTTTTGCTAAGTATTTTCTTGGTGGGCCCAGGTGATTCATACGCGTAGTGGGAGATTCCAATTCCATCTCAGGTTAATTCTGATGGCACGTTTATTAGGTCATCAAATGCTCCATTGATTGACCTATCATTCGTAATAATCGCAATAATCAGGCCTTATCAGTTACGCGTGAAGGGAGGATATGCGGGTGCACACACCCCACGAGTGGTTCTTCATTATTAAATTATAATTCAGACAACAAGTCCTGACAGATGTCAGACATATGAGTCTACATCAGGTTCAGATTACAACCCACTCTGAAAGGGGGACAGCAATTTCTGTGCAGCTTGCACCATGAAAGAAAGTGGAAAAGTTCTACTCGTGTAATTTGCATTTGCGGCAATTGTTCGGAATGCCGCTCTGTGGGGATTGTGGGCTGTGTGGGGTTATCCCCACCAATTGTCTGAACTGTGTCAGTGCTCTATAATTAACAGCCAGCTAGCAATTTTCAACTGTCTATATATATATGTATATGCTCAATGGCTGAACAATGTACATAAGACTTTAACTTCACTCACCTGAGCAACAATTTGAGAAAGCAGCCAAAGCCGCGACAAGTGGCCACTTCACCCGTGTACGTAATTGTCATTGTAGCAGTATATTTTTAATTTTTTTTAGTTCTTTATTATGGCTGAGATTGTGCGGTTGTAGTCCCTCGATGCTGTCTGCCTCTTATCGCGTCTCAGTCATCACTTTTTTGCCTAAAACCAAATGAGATAAACCAAATTTATTTTTTCTGTCTAAATAAATAGATTAAAAGCGTTATGCAAGGCCAGGGGAACAGCAACAATAATGCAATTTTTAATACCAAAATCGATATATTTTTTCCACAATTAGACATGCAATGAAACAAGTCAAAAGGGATGCCTACAATGCGGAATACAATTGAAATGCATTTAACATTTAAGAGAAATGTCATAGTGTGCGGTTGATTACATTAATTGCTGCAATTTATATGTGTGTATATATTTTATACAGATGAGAGTTTAAATGGGGGGGAAATACGTCAGAGCTCGACCAACTTTTGCGTGTGTGGGCGATGCCTCTGGCGAGGCGGTGTCTCCATTTGATTCGAGAGGTGTCCGTGGGGGTCACTCTCCAGCGATTAGATGCCAATTAGACAGACAAACATAAAGTTCTCTATTGAATGGCATATGTATGTATTGTATTGTATGTAATCATAATCGAGTTCAGATGAGCTCATTTACGTGTATGTATCAATGAATTTCCGTCATAAAAGAGAGACAACGAAAAATGCGAGAATTTCTGCGAACCAGCGCCAGCTAATGATCAGAAATCACACCACGAACTCGGCTTCAAGCTTATACTACATTCTGTATATCATATATACGTATGTACATATGTATATACTAAGAGCAGCTCTGCGCCATGTGATCCCAGCGTTTAATGGGGAGAACATGACATCATTTATAGGTAGGCCTTAACCAAGGTAGAGTTTCAAAAGTGATCGTATATTGTATGTGTGTTCTGTTTGTTTGGCTTTCTGTTTTGGGCCAGGGCTCATAAATCTTTGGACAAAATAATTAGTTAACTTGTAATACTAGGGGATTTTTAAACCTGATTAGAAAACTGAGGTCAAAATGCGAGGGTTTCTTAAGGCAGATGCCTGAGAGCGTGTTTGCAATTGGATAAACAAACAGAGAACGCGATAAGAACGAGACTTTCGACGGGAAATATAGTAGGTATAAAGCAAACTGCTGATTTGTATATATAAAAACGAATTCGCAGTAAATAAAGGGGAGTAATACATTGGTTTCGTGTTTCGGAATACTTTATAGCGAGCAGAATCTCATTGACTGCAGGGCAGCCCTCAATCGAACCCTTATCGAATGAAAGTGGCACTCGAAGTCTTCTTTGTCATAAAACTATGCGATTTACAATTTCCAATTGTTTATTGACTGAAGTTATCAATGCGCCTTCCCCAAGAGAACTGACCTCTTGCGGTACTCATGATGCATTCCGCTGATGGGTCAATATTTGCCCAGCAAACGGAGCAAAAGACAACATTGTTGACCTATAAAAATGACAACAAATTCGGTCAGTCATGTGTACCGATATGAACGGGCAAGTCATTGGCTTTATCTCTCGTATTTGCATAATGCTCAATATTCTTTACAGTGAATCAAATCTAACGACAACATTCGAATTCAAATGGCCGAGGTTAATGACATTTTCAGCCAGTACAAGTACGAGGACGAGAGTATTTCAGTCGTCTGTTGAGAGCTGTCAGTGGGCCAGAAAGGCGCGTGGCTAAATTTAAATAATGCTCAATGCGGCCCAGAGAACAGGCCAGTGCATTCGATTGAATGTTTCCTCAATCTAAGAAGATTTTTTGCAAAATAATAATATTTTATTATTTTGATAAATTTTTGGTTTTCATATCGAAGTGGTTTATTAATAGCTGTATTTCGGAGGCCCAAGTAATTTGCATAGGGTATTGCAATTGCCAAAACAGTGTAGATGAGTCATGAGGCAAAAAAAAACACACACGTGTGCATATATGATATCCTATGTACAGTGCATGTTCCCTTGGTGGGACACTCTCGATTAAAGATATTTTTTGAAGATTCCAAAATGCACTTAAAGGTTTATTATTCCTTTAATAGTTGTACATCCCTTATATAGGAATTCTAAATGTTCTCAGTCGATGTAGTTTTTGTAATAAATATGTAATACTTCTTTCAATTACGAAATTATCTTTTCTTTGCTTACAAGGCAGATAAATGGAGCCATGGAAGCTGCGAGACAAAGATATATGTACATATGTATGTATGTGTGTGTGTAACTTCCTTGATATTTTACGAACAAAGGGCATTTTGTATGTTGCAAAGACAGTCATTGTTTGGTTCAATCGATTTTGAATTTCGTTAGTCACGAGTTCTAGATTTTAGTGCAGTTGTTGTTGCAGTTGTTATTCCCAGCAGTGTACTGTTATTAAATCGCTTCACGGTCACTTACATTTACATTTACAGGCGAATGCTACTATTTGTGCATGTTGTTGCTGGTGTTCCCGGCACGCCATGCAAAGCGGCAGAACCGAACAGATTCCTGCATTAGCCCCTTCCAGGTAGGGTAGGGTAGGGTAGGGTAGGGTACGCCAGAAGGTAACAAAACAAAAACACTTCCCACTATTCACAAACACAATAACAACAAGAAGACACACGCACAGACACACTGAAACACACACACATACACACACTTGGACGGGCACGCGGTTGCTTCTTGGGTTTTTCTTCAGTTTTTGCTTTTATGCTTCACTATTTTTTACGTTGTTTTTGACGTTTTCGTTTGTCGCTGCCGCCGAAGTTCTGTCCACACACACACCGACACAAATGCAGCCATGCCCAACAGTCATTCAAAAAAATCGCGTACTGTGCTCTGCTTTGGTCTGGCCGTTTGCTCTCTCTCTTTCGGCGAACACTTCCGCGCTCCACGAACGACTGTTTTGAAATGAACCAACAGCCATGCGAAAATCAGTCTCGGAGACCACTGTACTGAACGAGGGGGAACGTTGCGAGTTGCTGCGGAGCCCGCTTCTCTACATTTATACCCGATACTTACTCAGTATGGCTCTTATATTAAGCGACACGACAAAGAGTGTGTGCGAGAGAGACAGAAAACGACGAAATTTTGAGATATACGTTTCATAGTTAGATGTAACAGGAGTGCGGATACCAAATTTGATTACTCTAGCCTTAATAGTCTCTGAGATTTGTGAATATTTTTGTGTCTTTGAGCACTAAGCGCTAATAGGGACGGACAGACGGACAGACAGACAGGGCTCAATCGACTCGGCTAATCGGAAAAGATTCCTTCTGGACGTTGCACACATCTATTTTCACCACAAATCGAATATACCCCAATACTCATTTTGAGTATCGGGTATATAAAGAGTGCGAATTGTCGGTCGGATGGTCGGAGAGGAGGCAGCACCCGAGAGCGAGCAATGAAGCAGCCAGAAACTCGTTGTGAGAGCGCCGAAGGGAGATAAGCTGTGCCCAGGGCGGGAATTGGCGGCCTTGAGGGTGGGCGCCTGACATGTACAAGTATTTCTATACCTATCAATATAGAAAATAAGCAATTATGAATCACATCAAATTATGGTAATTTATTGAACAAAATGGTGTTTTACCGACTTTTGTTATAACAATAGAAATATAATAAATAATTTTTGTTACAGCGAATACCTGAATGAACACCTGGCATCTGAAGCATACGTTTCACAAACTGTTGCATACCTTTAGTCGAATTTATTCGGTATCTAAAGGTATACTTTAAAGTCTGTAAACTCGCCAGGTAACAGATAGTACAAGCGTTGGTTAGAGGAGGAAATGTTTCTTCAAACTGTTGATCCAAAATGGTTTTCTGTAATTGTGTTTTTGGCAAATGAAAGGGCATAGTAGTCTAACGCTTTCCAATCAGTACCAAATATATTTAATCATACTATAAATGTGTTGCCCCGATGATATGCAGGATGCTTTGCTTGCAAAGAGACCAATAACTCCAATGACTAGATACATCCATTGGAGGATCTCTTACGATTGGCTTGGAGGATGTATTGTATCTCTCACACATTCACATATCTTGCAGTGCATTTGTGTGCGCAGACAGCATAGAAAATGGAACAAAAAGTGTGACTGTTTTGGTTCCGATCACTGTTATACTAGCAGATCACTTTCCCATGAACATAAGATATGACCTTGTCGGCAGCTGTCTTAGATTAATAATTAGAAGGCTGCAGTCGTCGGATTTTTATTGGATTTTAGTATAACTCAGTTATTTTTTAGATGTCTTACAGTTTTAATTTAATGTGACTACGATATTTGGCAATATTTAATCATTGTGAAGGCGTTAACTGTTGGGTGTTGGCCGGCAAAATCCACAAACATAGTTGATTGACTTCTCTGACCTTTGTGCATATTTCACATCCAAAACTGAATCGTAGACAAAGTCAAATTAGTATTAAAATATTCAGTACAGTCAACACAGTCCGCCAATTATAGAAAAGTCTCATGAATTTCGTTTCTTTTTTAGTTTTTATTAAATTAATTGCTTTAATTTTAAATTAATTACAATTCGTACGTTTAACGCATGTTCCAAAAGGGGGCTGGGCGTAACTTTCTTAACATTTTAGACTTTAAATTAATTTTGCCTGCTTCTGTTTATTTTTACAAGTAGTTGAAACATTTCGCTAATACACATTCGTTCGCACTTACGACAGACTAATGACTTATGTTAGGTAGTTGTTTTAAAATTAGGCAAAGGGAACGCTAAGTACTTCCTTTTAGTTTAGTATTTTACAGCGGCATCATCTCTATCGTTAGGAATTTGGAAAAACTTGTGGCTTGATGAATAATCTTATGATCTTTTAGTTATATACATTTTGAGACGCAAGATAGGGGGAGGAAGGGGAAGGGGAAAAGACTTAGACTAGCTTAAAGAACTAGTGCCTTCATTATCGTATTATGGTCGCGCTCTTATCGATTGGGTTGGGTTATCGGTTCAGATATTACTGGGCGGTCCCCGATGGGCGCGCTGTCCGTGTATCGTGGAACCGGGACGCGAGTGCACAATTGCATAATCGTTATCGTTATCGATTGGCATTGACCTTCGAAGTACGTTGAATGGAGTAAGTTTTGGATTTAATACAATTCATACAATACAATTGCATAGAGAAATACGAGTAGTAGTTCTAGAGAAATCTTCAAGACGGATTAGTTAGCCATGCCTTGAAACTGGCGGTTAGTTTTCGTATTGTTTTCGATCTTTTGTTCGGGAAAAAGTGGCAGCAGGAAACTTAGTTGGACAGTTTGTTCATGTGTTAGTTAATATCGGTAGAGTTATCGGCAAGTTACTATCGGTTAATTACAGTTGCAGTAGTACTAGGCACGAAATGGTTTAACATTCTCTCTCTCTCTCTATCTCTCTTTGTTTTCGATTTTGATTTGATTTTGTTGTGTGGCTGTTGTTGGAGTAATTGTAACTGTTGCTGTTAACACGAACAAGAACAAGAACAAGAGATACGAGTACGAGTACGATACATAGAGACGCAGATACAAGATACTTTTGTTGTAGGCATGCTGTAGTTTTGTGTGTGTGTGTGTTTGCTTGGGGCTCCCAGAAAATATATAATTTGTGAGAGCAGAGCAGAGCAGGTGTAGAATAGAGATGTACGTGTGTGTATCTGTGTGTTGGTTTGTGTGGCTTGTGTGGCTTGTGGAGGCAGCTTAATATCTATCAGACCTATTTGAGTGTATCGTCGAACCGCCGCTGGTATAGCCCTTGTGCGCATCCCGGCCATGCAGCGAATAACGGGAGCCATACTGGCTGCCGTGCCAGCTGCGATACGGATCGTATTCCTCGATGATCGACGGCTCCTTCTCGATTATCTGCAAAGTGTTCGATTAGCCATTATTTATCTATGCTAGCCTAAAGCGCTGAAAAACTGACCTCTGTGTTGGCACAACTGCAGCTCATGGCCGTGCAGAGGAAGATGTTCATGAGCAGCATGATTAGGAAGAGGACACCCAACGTAATGGTCAGCCAGAGCAGCCAACTGGGTCGTATGCCATCCTCGCAGCTCGACGAGACTACTGTGCACATATAAATCAATGAATTTATAGAAATGCCATCCATTTGAAGCTGCTACTTACATCTGGCCTCTGCGGGATCCAGAACAAAGACTGTGGTGCCGGCCAGGCTGGATCCCTCCTCATTCGGGCCGAATTTCCGGGGTCCATTGCTGCCCTTGGTGAAGCCAGCCAGAGCCACATCGTTGCAATCATCGATCTCCACACAGCGACCATAGCACTGGATCACATCGCACTGCAGATGCACCTCAGAGCCTGCCGGACAAAAGAGAGAGAGATAGAGAGAAAGTTAGGATCGCGCTTGAATCCTTAAACTGTTGGTCCTACCCTCGGGAAACTTGAACATCGAGGTGAGAGTCGCCTCGGCAGCTCTTCCATCCGCAGTGGGCACAAAGCGGCTGATAATCGTGGCATCGTAGGGGCAGCTATGGGGCGAATCCAGATTATGTATTAACTGTTTTCAGAGGTTAGCTCTGTCCGAGCGAAGACTTACCCGCTGTCGTCGGTGAGCTTGAGGGTGCGGTTCTTCTTGTCAAAGGCAAAGCAGTTGCCCACACGCAGGCCATAGGTATCTGAAAATAGTGGATAATGATGGTAATGGCATGGGGGAGAGTGGTGTTAGCTGGTACCCACCATTCGGCTTGGAGAACTCGGCGCGTATCTTGTACTCGTGCCCGTACACCGTCTCACGCACTCGATGATCGTTCTCCAGAAACTTGAGCACCACATGGGCATTGTCGTCGCTGCAATATGGTTGGAGGAGGATTACACACACACACACACATGGGAGACAGGGGGGAGGGAGCTAACGGTATGCCTGGGACTGCTCTATAATTACACATCTATGAGCCAGTGGCTAATTAAAAGCGCAGCCAATAGACCCGAAAGCTCTGGGCCGCCGTTGCAGGTCGGTTGCAAATTCTGCAATGCTGCAATTATGCAACAATTGCCGGTCATTGCTTTGTGGGCCAGATATACGAATAACATCTATAACTATTTGTTGTGTTTGCACGATTTTTGTTAACAATTTCTTTGCTTTTGATTCCTCGTTGTTTACCGCGGGCTTAACAGAGCGCAACGTTTTGGAAAAGCCGTTTCGGATGCCATTTTTTTATATCCGACTTGAGCGCTGGTTTTTGCTGAGAATTCACTGAACACTTCCCTGAGAGATGGAGAGACTTGCGTAATTCGGAGCTGGCCATTGCCACCATGCAAATGAGGCAAGAGGCAAGATCCGCGCGAAGGTAAATTAAATTGTTTCTCATTCGCCTCAAGATGATTATCGGGGCTTCGGTCAGTCGTTTACCGTTAATTGAACTGCTGCTAAGTAAACAATAAAAAATTTGTTTGTGTTTTTTTGTAATTTTCGGAATTTCTGCGCATTTGGCCCGAACGAGGAGTGATTGAGTGAACGAGCCCCCCTATTGTGGGCAAGAGCTTAATGGCCTTGAGTTCTAGTTCTACATATGTAGAGAGGGAGAAATTGCGAACAATGACTGAGAGCAACACCTACATGCTGTGCATGGTGCCACATGCAACCCCACACACTCCATCCGTGATCTACGGCCAGTCAGCACAATTTGCTCTTTTGATTCCACTTCATTTGTTGTCTGCCGACTGGCAAATCACTGGAGAACTTGGAGCACTTTGGGCTGACGGAAGCCCGACCAAAAAAACAAAAATTACAGGCACAGAGAGGGACTTAAGTGCAATTGTCTAGACAGGTTGGGCATTCAAAAACTTACCGAGTGTAGCCCGATTTGCCACAGGTAATCACATAAAACTTATCATCCGCCAATTCCAGTGTCTTGTGCACACGCACTGCCAGCTGAATGGATCGCTCC